GTGCGGGTGCATTATCTACTATCAACCATTGCCATCACCGGCAGTTTGTCCCTGCACCTGAAGTGGATAGGAACGAAGGGGGACACAACCATGCTCTGCGTGTGGGGTGCATGGTGCAGAACCGCCCGCCAACGTCAACTATCGAGAAGATCTCTGGCCGCGCGTGCTGGGGAATTCATCTCGGCATCAGCCACGAGCACAAGGCATGGATCATCTTGGATCTACTCAGCCAAAAAACTACCCACGCACGCGACGTCATCTTCTACGAGCGCCTCTTCCTCGAGCAATTCCGCCACGATGAGCAGACGAACGCGAATCACATTCACGCAAATGACGGGCACAGCTATGCAATGAGGACGTAGCCGCTGCAACAATCCTGGAGCAAGATACCAGCGGCGAGTTTACAAGAGGAGATCGCCACAGCAGCGACGACTACAACGATGATTCCTTCGGGGGAGGAATGGGCGGAACAGGAGGAAGCGGCAGAGTCGCAGCGCCATCAGCACCACCTGAACCAGAGAGTGATGATGACGACGTGCAGCAGGTTATCCCACAGCACCGCCATGACGGCACCGTCTCCGGGCTGCAGCTTCTTGTTGGTGCAACCCTACGGTTTGCACTCGGCTTGTTGTCCGTGTGCGTGCATGCGTGTGTGCATGGAATGGAATGAGGGCATGAAATAATATATATTTCATGCTTATAATAGTGTGTGTATGATGGGTCATGATGTCGAGTGTGTGTGTCGAGTCAATAGCGAGTTATCGCTAGCCGCGTATTAATGCGGCCATTTGTGTCTCGCACGCGATTTCTATTTTGTCGTGTGTCCCGTGCGCGATTTCTATTTTGTCCTAAGTCGAACATTTGGCGTGTCGTAGGTGTGTGCAGCAGACCCATCAAGAACTCAAGGTTGAGTTTGTGATGAAGAACCCGAGCCTTGGTTTCGCCAAAAGGCTACACCTCAAGATATTGAAGATAGTTACATTACAATGTGTAGTGTAACATTTCAGTTGGTGTAGGCCCTTGTGAAGGGTAGTTTCGAAACACTTCTTGGTTGGGGACAGTGTGGCACTGTTCCCCATCACTGTACCTCGGCTCTTGGGGTTTGTAGGAGCTGGGAGTCATTCCCAACTCGCAACCCTTCGAAACCCTTTCTAGTTCTTCCTAATTGTGTTTCTAAGACTATGTTGCTGCCATAGTGCCGTTCGTTCAAACCGACGCTGTGTCGTCAATTCTTGATTATAGGCGACATTAAGGCGCTCCAAATCCAAGTAAAATCAGGTCAATTGGAGCTGTGACCAGATCGCTATGAACGTTTGAAGCCGCTGTGCAGAAATCTGACTGCGCACTCTATCTTTCGTTCTAGGCACATTGAAGCCTATTGTGACTATAACAAGTGGTATCAGAGCGCCTTGGAGCAGCTTGGACGATGGCTGGACCTGAAGAAAGGGGTGACAGAGGTGCTGGTGGCAGTGGAGGACCCCAAGCACAAGGTCAACCCCGTGATTCAGCCATGGCGTCCGTGCAACCGACTCTTGGACCTTCTAAGGACGAACCAAGAGTGTTCGGGCTCGACAAGTTCAACGGCGACAACTTTGCTGAGTGGTCCTTCAGAATGGAGAACGTGTTTGACCATTATGAGTTGTTGGAGGTGATGGAAGGAACGGAGAAGCGTCCCAAGAATGACCCGGAGAAGAGCTCGTGGGTGCGGAAGAGCGCACAAGGCTATCTCCTACTTGGGCAAGCGTTGGGGAACAACCAAATCCGTCACATCAAGCCTTTCCAGCGTGAACCAGAGAAGGGACCAAAGGCATGGGCTGCTCTCAAGGGTGTACACGCTCCTGCAACAGCGGCGGTAGCTGTGGTGTTGGAACGGCAAATGGCGACGCTACGAATTGAGGAAGATGAACCCGTGGAAGACGGGGTGCAGAAATTCTTCGACTTGTTGACGCGGCTTGAGGGAGCTGATTTGAACTACAGTGAGCTCCAAAAGAAGACCAAGTTGCTGGCCCTACTTGTCGAGAAAGCTAGGCAAAACGAGAAACAGGAAAGAGGGCTTTTCACTAGCAGCAGCAGGATACATATACGAAACCCTAAATCGGGTTGTACTCGCTATAGAGTACCCCACTGCAGGCTAGACACACATAACATTCTGACACACCCCCATAGTCAAAGTGGGGTACAATCAACACAACAAGCAGGCAGAGCAGTAGTTCACAATTATAAGCAGCGCTAGAGACTATCACAGAGAGCAAGTGAGGAGGAGGAGAAACTGTGGGGCCAAGAAGATGAGAGACGACGGCTGAAGCTGCAGACACACGGGCAACAGAAGTGCGCAGCACTGTCGCTACCAGGCTAAACCCGGACTACACGGCGACAGGCTCTGCTGGCTCGCTGTGCTCCCACGAGTGCTCACACTGTGGCTACCGGGCGCAGAGCCCCGGACTACTCAGGCCACAGGGGGTCGTGGCTCTCTGGACTACCAGGAGTGCTCACACCGTGGCTACCGGGCGCAGAGCCCCGGACTACTCAGGCCACAGGGGGTCGTGGCTCTCTGGACTTCAGGCGCTGCGGACGACAAGTCGGCTACCTCCGGTCAACCTCCCCCAACTGTTCCACACCCCTTTCACACACTCCCTGCTGAACCACTAGCACCGCTCACACGCCACCCCCCTCGTACCACTCCGACGGCTCCAACACATCCACCCCCCTCAGCGGCAGCTGCAGCAGTGGGAGACGGAGGAGGAGGAGGAGCAGGGGACGGCTCACACACACGGCACCCCCATACTCTCCACCCCCAAACCCTAACACAGGAACGCGGGCAGCAGCGGGGGTGGGGCGCGGTCAGAAGCTCGGGGGACGGCGTGCGGCATAGGGGAAGACGGTACGGGCCGCGCACGGGCCTGGCGCAGGCCGGACGAACCGCGCGCGCGCTGCCCGAGCCGCGCGCGGGCCTGGCGCAGCCCGTACGGGCCGCGCGCGGGCCTGGCGCAGCCCGTACGGGCCGCGCGCGGGCCTGGCGCAGGCCGTACGGGCCGCGCGCGGGCCTGGCGCAGCCCGTACGAGCCGTGTGCGGGCCTGGCGCAGGCCGTACGGGCCGCGCGCGGGCCTGGCGCAGGCCGTACGGGCCGCGCGCGGGCTGTACGGGCCGCGCGCGGGCCTGGCGCAGGTCGCGCGGGCCGCGACGGGCGACGGGGGGCGACGCGCGGGTCCCCGGGGGCGCCGCGACGGGCGACGGGGGGCGACGCGCGGGTCGACGGGGCAGAAAACCGCCGCGCGCCTCGGGGCGCACGGCGGGCAGAAAACCGCCGCGCGCCCCGAGCGCGCGGCGGGAAGAAAAAACGACGCGCGCTCCGAGCGCACGGCAGTGAGAAAACGGCGCGCGCTCGGGGCACGCTACAGGCAGTAGAGCAGCGGAAGCATCGGGTGGGGCCCACCCACAGGATCGACCCAGGAGGGTCGGCTTGCTCTGATAGCATGTTGAGAAAGCTAGGCAAAACGAGAAACAGGAAAGAGGGCTTTTCACTAGCAGCAGCAGGATACATATACGAAACCCTAAATCGGGTTGTACTCGCTATAGAGTACCCCACTGCAGGCTAGACACACATAACATTCTGACACTACTCCCCGAGTCGTGGTCCTCGCTCATCATCAATTTGAACCGTGATCTGCCCCGTCTCTCGCTTGAGGACGTGAAGCGTGCGATCCTTCAAGAGGACTTGGCAAGTGCGGATGGCGCTGGGGCAGCGAGCGTCGGCCGTGGATATGGCCGAGGAAGAGGCAGAGGACGAGACGAGGGGGAGGAAAGTTTGGTGGCAAAAACTTCGGCGGAGGCCGCGGAAGTGGCGGATACGGCAGCGACGACAACAGCTACAGTCGCGTTGGCGGACGATTTGACGGCGAATGTCACTATTGTCATAAGAGCGGACACATGTGGCGCGATTGCTACAAACTCCCTGAAGGTTGGACCCCTGCTCAAGGCCAAGAGGGTAGAGGAGCAGGAGGAGGGAGAGGAAGAGGCCGTGGAGGCCGTGGCGGTCACGGAGGTGGAGCTGCAAACATGAATAGCGGAGATAACGACAAGGACCCGAGCGACGATCGGTACCCGGGTCTATTCTACTTCGTGTCGACGCAAAAACCGGCTGGTCCAGAGAAGGATGAAGGCTTTGAGGAGCCAGCAGCTGTGGGGAAGGTGACCCTACACCCCCTGGACTATTGGGTGATCGATAGTGGCGCTACCTATAGCATGACACCTCGCCCGGACTTGCTCACCGAACTCGAGCCGTCACCGGTGAAGCATGTCACATCGGCTTTGGGGCAGCGAGCAGAGGTGAAAGGCATGGGCAAGGCCATGTTCAAGGGTGCTGATGGAAAGATGGTGGGCCTCAAGAACGTGCTTTGGGTGCCCAGCCTTGCTGCGAACCTGATTTCCGTGCGGCGGTTGGCAAAGGCCGGCATGGACACGAACTCGAAGGGAGCCAAGACCTACACCGCGAGGATTGGTGACCGGATTCTTTGGGACCTTCACGAGGACAGGGATGTCTACAACAAGATGTGGCAGATCCCTGTGGTATTTATGCCTAAGGAGAGGCAAGTGGCAGCAAGCGTCAGCACCAAGGGTGAAGCGGTTGGTAGCGGCGATGGCGCGAACGGTCGCGCTAAGGAGAACGAGCTCAAGAAGAGCAAACCTGGAGGGACCAGCAAGCTGTGTGAACCTAAGGAGGGTGGAGCAGCACAAGGGTGAGAAAAAACTCAAGGCAGCAGCGAAGGAGGAGTACGGAGAGAGTATGTGGGGCGCTATTGCGAGCGCGGCATTCTCTTTAAAAAGTGTTACACTTTTTAAAATTATAATATTCATACTCCAGTGCAACTATAGTGCCAACCTCGTTTACCAGCTACATTGCCCCTCCGCTACTATCAGGCGGACTGGCACCTTTTCGGCATATTCGTTTCCGCGATCCCCTGTGGTTACCACCTGTGCTCGCCCCCACCCCCACAATCCCATGCCTTCATCCCAACCATCCCCTTTGCGCCCTCTCCCCTCCCGCTTTGTTGCGCCGCTGGAACCCTGCCCTCTTCACGTCCCTACCGCCTTCCCAGCCCAAGCAACATCGAAGAGGGTGAGGGGGTTGGCCAAATCCCGCATATCCATGGCACCCATGGCTCGTGCTGCTCCGCCGCCACCGCCGCCTGCCCTACTCGGCGCTCGAGCGTTATTCAACACCAAAGACCCCACGCCGTGCCGTGCCAAGCGTAGGTGGCGCGTGGCGAGTCGCCTACTCAAAGGCGCGACAGACAGTCTTTGTCACTCAGACATTCCAACGTTCCGCGTTATGGCGCCGCAATTTGTCGTGGAGGGATCTGTAGGGTAAAACACGGACGCGCTTTCCATATCCACCCTGCTCCGCTTCGGCTGCTTAGAGCCTTGCGTGGACGCTGGGCCGCCTAGATAGGGCTGTACTCGCTGGGAGGGGTGGATCCATCATAGAGACGTCGCAAACGCCAATCCATTTAGATCGTCCTTTTGCCTCTTCGAATCCCCCTAGTTGTCCACAGAGATGACGTCACCGGCCTTTCGCAAGTCGTTCCACTCCGATCCTCTGTCCGCAGCGTCGTCACCTTCCCCCGCATCGTGCTCGCCGCTAGCATCCTTGGCACACCCGCCCTCCACCGTGTACCCTCAATCCTCCGCGCTGTCCTCCTCCCTCTCCGCCGGTTCTCCTGCCGGCATTTTCGCGGCGATAGAACGGCGATCCGTCCCCGCACTCGACGCCGCCATCGCCGCATGGCGCCAGCGCACGGGCAGCGCGGAGGGGCCCTCCGATCCTGGCAACGGCGGCGCGGCAGCAGGGGGAGCGGTGCGGATGGGGCGCGATGAGGCGCTTAGCGGGCTGCGGTCGAGTCGTGGGTTAACGGCGCTGCACGCGGCGGTGTGGCAGAACCACGTGGGCGTGGTGGAGCGACTGCTGGAGCTGGGATGCGACCCCGACGCTGCGGTGAGACGCATGGCACTCGGATCGCAATGACGCAATGAAGGCCCATCGCATGTCCACCCACCATGCGCGCTCTTTAATCCCTCCACCCCATTTTACTCCATCCCTGCGCGCCATGCCACTCATACGAAATTCTCCGCCGCCCGGCCTTGCAGGACTGGGAGTCGGGGTGGACGGCGCTGCACCGCGCGTGTCACTTCGGGCACTGGGCCGTCATGGGGCGCCTGCTCGCGCACAACGCGTCGCCCTCCGCGCTCGACGCGCTGGGCCGCACGCCGCTGCAGCTGCTGCCGCGCCCGCTGCACCAAGGTACGGCGAGCGCATGGGGTACCCCCTCGCTCGCCCCCTTACCCCCACGGCTCCTCTCTTCTCTCCACCTGCCTGCTCTCTCCTCCACACCGCTCATACTCCACCGCCCCTGCCTTCCCCCCATGCAGCCCACGACACCCCCGCCACTCTCGCCGCCGCCCTCCCATTCGTCGGCGAGCTTCCCTCTGCCGCTCCGCGCGCCTCCGACTCTCCCTCCGCTGCGGAGCCCCCGCGCGCGTCTCTGCGCAGCGCAGGCGTCCCCGTGGGCGCGCAGGTGCAGGCGGAGGTGTTTTCGTGGGGCAACGGCGCCAACTACCAGCTGGGGACGGGCTCCACGCGCATTCAGCGCACCCCCGCGCGCATCGACGGCCTCTCCACCGCTACCGCCACCGGCACCGGCAGCACGGGCGACGGTGCTGCGAGTGCGAGCGACGGGGACGAAGGGGCCAGTTCCGCAGCCACGGCACCCCCGCCACCTGCATGTGCGGCAGCAGGCCCGGCGGCGGCAGTGGTGGCGGTGGCGGCGGGTCGGTTCCACAGCGCGGCGGTGACGGCGCGGGGCGAGCTGTTCACGTGGGGCTTCGGACGGGGCGGTCGCCTGGGCCACCCCGACTTCGACGTGCACAGGTGCGCGGGGCAGGGGGACGACGGGGGCAGGGGGAAAGGGCACGGGACGGGCATGGGGTTAGGGAAGGTGAAGGGGGAAGGAAGAGGGGGAGTGGGAGGGGAGAGGGCGTGGGGGAAGGGAAGATATCGTTGTTCGATCTGTGCTCGCTTGTGTTCCTCGCCCAGTTCCCGGCGTGCTTTGTGTGCGTCAGCCCTCTTTCATTAAGCCTCTCTCTTCTAAGCCCGTCCCCCCGCCTCTGCCCCGCCCATGCAGTGGGCAGGTGGCGGTGATTCTCCCCCGGCGCGTGACAGCGGGCCTGGGCGGGCGCGCAGTGCGCGTGGTGGCGGCGGCGAAGCACCACATGCTGGCCGCCACGCACACCGGGGAGCTCTTCTCCTGGGGCTCCAACCGCGGTGCGCCTCTCCCCCCGGGGGGGACGGGAAGGGAGGGCAGGGGAGGGGAGAAGAAGGGAGGGGGGGGGGAAGGGACGGGATGGGACAGGAGGGAATGAAGTGGAAGGGAAAGGGAGCAGACGGGAGGGAAAGGAAAGGGAGGAAATTGAAGGTAGATGTGTTGGAGAGTCCTGTTTTACGCAACCCTTGTGCTCTTGCCTTCTTTAATTCCTCGTCCCCACACCCTCCCTTCCCATTCCCCCCCTCCCCCACCTCCCTCCTCTTCTGTCCCCCCTCGCGTTCACGCTTTCCCCTCCGTTCCCTTGATTTTGTCCATGCGTCCAACGCCACATGCTCTCCCCTCCGCCCTGCCCCGTATCCCCTGCCTCCCCCCCTCTTCTCTCAACCCTCGCCCCCACCTGCCCGCCCACCATGCGTGTGGTGCAGAGGGGCGGCTGGGTTACCCGGCAGTGGACTCGCAGGCCACGCCGCGGCGCGTGGCGGCGCTGCGGCAGCGAGTGGTGGCGGTGGCGGCGGGCAACAAGCACAGCGCGGCGCTGACGGTGGCAGGGGAGGTGTACACGTGGGGGTGCAACACGCATGGGCAGCTGGGGTACGGCACCATCAACAGCACGTCCAGCTGCACGCCGCGCATCGTGGACCACTTGAAGGGCCGTGCCATCGCTGCTGTGGCCGCTGCCAAGAGGCACACCGTCGTGCTCACCGCCGATGGGGAGGTGTGTGTGTGCCACATGCGCCCCTCCTCTCTACCTCTCTTCCCGTTCCAACTCCCCTATTCCAAACCCCCCGCTCTCCCCTCTCCCTTCCCCTTCCCCCTCCACCCCGCCCTTCCCCCCCCCGTTCTCTCTCACACACCGTTTTTTCCATCTTCCACCCCTTTCCTTTTCCCTACTCACGTCGTCCCTCCCTCTTGCAGCCCCTCATTTCCCTTCGCCACCTCGCTGCGCCCACGGCCCTATCGCCTTATTGTGCCCACGCCATGCATCGCTGTCTTTGCCACGTTGCCCGCGCCCACTCCCTGTGCCGGTTTTCCTCGCAGGCGTATACGTGGGGGCACCGCCTGGTGACGCCGAGGCGAGTGAAGGTGGAGAGGGACGTGCGCAAGGGGGGCGCCAGTGCCGCTGCTGGCGGGGCCGGGGTGATTCGGTTCCACCAGCAGGCGCGGCTGCAGCTGACGGCGGTGGCAGCGGGTGCCATGCACACCACGGTGCTGTCGCACGACGGACTCGTCTTCTACTGGCTCTCACATGACCCGCACCTCAAGTGCCACCAGGTATGCTGCACTCTCCCTGCCCGCCGCCTTGCCCGCGCCCCCCCCTCACACCCACTTGCCTGCCCCATGGCAACGTACTGTGAGCTATTTGACCCCGTTCTGCGTTCCCCGTTTGCAAAACGCCTGGAACACCGTCCCCCCCCCCCCACTGGCCTAAGCTGACACTCGTGCACGCACTTCCTTCTGTCCGCTCTCCATGCGCCATCGTCCTGGTGTGTGGCACCCCCCTAGTTGGTGGCGCTAGCGGAGCAGCGCGCGGTGGCGGTGGCAGCGGGCAAGTGGCGCACGGCCGTGGTGACGGCGGGCGGCAGTGTGTACGTGTGGGACGCCTCCCACACAGACACGCCCCTGCCTGCGCCTGCTGCTGCCGCCACTGTCGCCGCAGGAGGCACGGGGGTGGTAAGAGTAGGAGAGGGAGGAGGTGGAGACGCAGGCGCGTGCAGCACAGCAGGCGCAGAGGCAGGAGGAGGAGCGGTGCCCCCCCTGGTGCAGCGCGTGGCTGGTATCTGCCAGGCCGCTGCCGTGGCGGTGGGCGACCTGCACTCCCTTGCCGTCGCACACGTGCTGCTGCCACCCCTCCCTCACCCCTCCCCGCCGCACGCTGCCCCGTCTGCAGCGGTGCCTTCGGCGGGTGGAGATGCAGAGGTGGCGCGGGGGAGGGCAGTGGGCGAGGAGGACAGGGAGGCCGTGGAGGAGGACGACGAGGAGGAGGAAGTGCACGAGCTGGGGGGAGGGATAAGGCGTCCAGGCTGGCCGGGTGGAGTGGGGGATGCTGCAGGGGTGCCGGAGGAAACGGTGGGTGAACGCATGGCGGCGAGTGCAGTAGTAGCGAGGACACAAGGTGGAGGCTCAGGGTGGGGTGTGGTGGTGGGCCAGGGGCGGGGGTGGGTGGCGCCATTGAAGCAGCTGTGCGAGGCAGTGATAGCAGCGCACGTGGTGGACGTGCGCAACGTGCTGCCCGTGCTCGCCATTGCTGATGCCGTGCACGCCCACCTCCTCACACCCTACTGCCAGGTGCGCGCGCCCTACTGCTGTGTGCTGTGTGTGGTGTTGCCCACATGGAGTGCATGTGGTACGCAGTTGGGGTTGGGCAAGGGACGTGCGTTGAGGGAGGGAAGGAAGGCGCCAACTGTGTCGCATGTGTTACTTTCCCCCCTCTCCCGCCATGCGTTCCCCCTTGGCCATACCCCCCCGGTCCACCCCCCATTCCGCGCGCAGCACCTGGCACTGGCGAACCTGGCGTTCATAGCGACGGTGGCCCCCCAGCAGCTCGCCCTCTGCCCGCCCCACGTGCTCGCGCACCTCGAGGCCGTCTCCCGCACCTGCTCCTCCGCCGCCTCCGCCCCTGCCCCCACGGCTCCTCCACTGCTGCCTCTCTCGCGCGCTCTGCCCACACCCACGGCGCCCAACGACCCTGTGCTGGCTGGCGAAGAGGAGGAGGAGTACGAGGGGGGAAGTGGCGAGCAGCAACAGGGCATGCACGAGCATGGGCAGCAGCAACCGCACGTTGGGTACCAAGACCACCTGCACGCCCATTCCTTTGACTCCACCCCCCATGCCACTGCCCACGCCCACAGCACCACATGGCATGTCACCCCCTCCCCTGACCTTGCCTCGGCGCTCCACATGGCGCGCCATACCGGCCTCCCAGTCCTCCATGCAGACCTGGGAATCACATCCAGGTTCGGCGGAGGCTCGGGAGTGGACGCAGCAGGTGAGGCGGAGGTGGCGCGGCAGGTGAGGGCAGTGCGGAAGAAGCTGCAGCAGGTGGAGATGCTGGAGGCGCGCAGGCGGGCGGGTGAGGTGCTGGATGCGCAGCAGCGGGCCAAGGTGGCGGGCAAGGCGCAGCTGGACAAGGTGGTCGCCGTGCTGGAGGCCGGTGGGCCCGCTGCTGCTGCTCTTGCCGCCGCCCGCGCTGCTTCTGCTGCTGCTGCTAGTGGCGCTGCTGCGAGTGTGGGTGGTGGAAGTGGTGTGGGGGGGAATGGGAGTGTGGGTGAGGCCGTGCATGGTGATGGCGCTGCTGACGCTGGTTCCACACACACGACCAACAACGCCACTCCCGGCAAGGCTGGTGACGCAGCTGCAGCAGGGAAGGACAAGAGTCGGAAAAAAGGAGGGCAGGGATTATCTAGTAAGCAGTCAGAGGCCAAGGAGAGGGAGAAGGTGAGGTGCATTCCACTTGAGTCTGTTTGCATCACTTCTCCTGTTTTGTGCTCTCGTATGGAATCACAAGCTCCTGTGGTGCTTGCTTTGCAAGAATCACCTGTTGCTACATTTGATCGCGGCTCCTCCACTTGCCATCGTGCCTCAACACCCATGGTGCTCTTTGTCCCCCCTGCCCTAATTCTGCGGTTTGCTGCTGTCGCCAGGCACCGCGTGCAACAGCTGCCTCGCGTGGCCCCTCGGAACCTGTTGCCATACCTGACAGCATGCATCCACCAGCAGCAGCCTGTGAAGCCACAGTGGGTGTGCTTCTGCCCCCTGGTGGGGCGCTCTGTGCACCACCAGCAATGCCACACGCTGCTGCTCGCACCACTGCTGCCACCAGCACTACCACTGCTGGCAGCGGTGGCAGTGGGAAGAAGGGGGCGAAGAAGAAGTGGCGAAAGGGAGGGCTGTCGCTGTTCCTTGCTGGTGACCTGGAACGTGACGCCACCGCCGCCACTGCACCTGCCACGCCTGCTCCTGCAGGTGGAGCAGCGGGCCCCTCTCCCTCCCCATCGCCCGCCAAGCCTGCGTGGGGCATCCCTCGCCAGCCCGCACCACCCGATGCTCTGCCTGCTCCTACAGAGGCGTCGCCTGCGCGCTCACTGCGGGACATTCAGAGTGAGCAGCAACAGCAGCACAGCGGCAGGGCAGCGCTGCACACTGCACCCGCGCCCATTTCCCGCCCCCTTGGCCATGGCACCTCTGCTGCGGGCAGTTGTGGCAGTGGCAGCAGCGGGGGCAGGTCCATGAGCGGCACAGATGCAGTGAGTGCAGTGGGCAGGAGCGCCACCAAAGGCAGCAGCGGGCGGCGTGGGCAGCAGGGGCAGCACGGCAGTGCACCGGGGTTGCTGGGGTTCGTGTCGGTGGCTGCTCCTCACAGCGCATCTCCGGGGCAAGCAGGGCACGAGCGAGTGGCAGCAGGCGCGGCACAGGGGGCAGGGGGGTGGAGAGGTGGCGAGGGTGGTGGAGTGGCAGCGGGGATCAGAGTATCTCTGGGGGAGCTGCTCAAGGCGTCCACCCAACACAAGCCCCACCATACAGATGCTGCTGGGGGCGCGGGCAAGGCAAGGGCAGCACCGGTGGCACCGTGGGCCAAGGGGCGTGGTGGAGAGGGCACGGTGGGAGACGACCCCGTGGTGCGCAGCCAGGGGATGAACATAGGCAGGGGGTTGGGCAGCGGTGGGCAAGGAGGAGGGCATGCACGTCAGCCTGTTTCACTGGTGGAGATTCAGCAGCAACAGGTGTGCTTGCCGGCAGCCCTAGGCATGCACCTCCTTATGTCAGCATAGTTTATGATCGGTTTGTGTACTTTTACTTCTTTCCATGCCTTGCTAGCTGTTGGCTTGCCTTGTCCACTGCATGTGTGCCCTTCCCAATGCCATTGTGCCCGGTGTGCGTGCTGGCCCGCCACCAGGAGCTGTCGCGCCGTCGCTCGCAGCACTGCGGCTCATGGGGCAGCCCCACCTCTGCCCTGCTCGCCGCATCGCCATCCAATGCTGCCACACCAGCAGCGGCACTGCAACGACCTGCTGCCTCTGCTCCCGTGCCATGCTCCCCATCCTCCCCGGCTCCCTCGCCCTCACCCAGCCGTTTTTCCGCCGCCTCTTCTCCTGCCATGCCCGCCACTCCCCATGGCTCATCTGCGCGCACGCGTGCCTCTGGCAGTGGTGGAAGCATGCCTGCTGCTGTTGCTCTTGCCACCACCACTACAGGTGGCGGGTTTGCCCCTGCTGCAGCGGAGGCAGAGAGCCGGTGGTACAAGGGGGTGGAGGAGGGGGTAAGGGCGTCATCGCTGCGCAGCATTCAGATTGAAGAGCAGGCCATGAGGGAGCTCAAGAGCTTTGGCTTTGCCAGTGTGCGCGTCGTCAGGGATACGTAGTTGACTGGGAGCAAAAAAGGGCTTCAACCTTCTATTGCGTGTGGCCATGTGCCCCTGTTACGGTACATCACCACCACTCCACACCTGTCCGTGTTATGCTGTTTATAACATCTAATGTTACAACAAGGGGTCGTGTACTGTAATCAAATAATTTTCTAGAGTGAAGGTGTCACACTTCCTTATGCAGTGTATTGTGAGTGGACGAGGCGAATACGTAATTTTCTAACACCTCTCAAATCTCTTATAAAAGCAGTTAATGAGTAGGTGCAAATATGTCATGATACTTAGGCTAGGATGGTTGATTAGGTCAAGGGGGGGAGTACAAGAATGTCGAGAGAAATTGTGTACCCCCTAGTGTTAACCCCCATATAGCCTAGCTAATCTAACCATGCATATAATTGGCAACCCACTAGAGGCTATAACATTTGACAAAATATGGTACGAGAGGATACGCGCGAGAGTCCCTCCCTCAGGGCCTCAGATTGGTTTTTTGGGTACACTGATTTTCAGTGTCATCTGTTACGAATAGTGATGAATGAAGATTGCAGTGCGCTCCCGACCGCAGCTAAGGAAACATGCAAAGTATCGAGAACGAATGCGAAGAGTCAGAATTGACTCGAAGCGTCAGACGGTTAGGGTGCATCTGGACCGTCGGAGCAGACGGCATCGGGCAGCTGCAGGCAGGATGGCTTTGGCGGGAACAGTTTCGTAACTGTACGCGCCGCACGGTTGGGAATGAATTTGAATAAAGGGAATGTACCCCTTAGAGTACATGGCTGGTTAGGTCGACTCATATTCCCATGTACCCTTATTTATACTCGCTGTATTTGCATGTTTTAATCATCTCAAGCATTTTACATTCACTCTGCTATTGAGGTCAAGGGCCCACCAAACTATCTCACTGCGTGCGAACCTTCCTGAGTAGATCCTAGGCCACGATCAACTTCTGATCGCAGCATGGTATGAGAGCGGCTCGGGAATCCTTCGCACTGCCACTCCCGAAAATTGCGACATTCGGAAAGTGGCGTCCGGCACACGATCGCGTGTGAGAATGGCCGGAGGATCTGGTGGTCAGACTAATCTGACGGCTGAAGCGCAACCCAACCCGGCTGCGACAAGCGAGGAAACGATGACTATCAGGACCGAAGTCCTCGCACAACTTCTTCAGCGACTCACCAACCTGGAGCAAGGGCTCCAAACATTGCGGAACGGCGATGCGGGAACCTACTCGCAACCCTCTCAACCGGCCCCAAACGGCCAGAACGCCGCCCCGCACACATTCTCCCTCGACACAAATGGTTCAACCCCCAAGGCTCCCCGTCCCAGTGAAGAGGCAATTCTCTCTGCACAATCAAGGTTTCTCAGCATATCAAAAATAAAGACAAGTACCTGCTTCGACGGCAGAGATTTCTATACATGGAGCTTTGAACTAGAGCTCCTGCTGCAGAACGCCCAAATCTTCCATTACTTCGACGGGAGCTACGCGGAACCCACTGAGGATACCGACGACGGTAGGATTCGCTACTACAACGAATCCCTGATGGCGTACGGAATCCTCCTGCGCAATATGTCGCCGGCGGAGCAGCTCAACATTCGTTCGTACAAGACATCGGCTGCTCCAGCCCTCGACGCCTGGCGACACCTCAACGGTGTGTATCAGCCGAAGGATTCAGTCTCTTGGAGCCGACTACTCCAGCAGTTACTGGAGACCAAAATGACCTCAGGGGAGAAGGTCAACAGCTACATCAATCGCTGTCGGAGCCTTCGCGACCAAATCGCGAAGTTGGGAAGTTCGATTTCGGAGGAAATCTTCGTGAACATCGTGCTTCAAGGGCTCGGCCCAGAGTGGCGGCCCTGCAAGGCGCTTCTCCGACAGCAGGGGGTCATCTCGGAGGCCGCCCTTTGCGCCGCCCTTCTCGTCGAACAAAGAGATATGGAACAGCAGCGACCAGCGCCACGAAGAGAACGCGAACGGCTCGCCTTCTATGACGACAACAACGAAGAGCGACGGCCGAGGCGCCTCTACTGCAAAATCTGCAGGAACTTCGGGCACTTGGCGGATCGATGTAAATACCGATCTCGCCCTCGCCAGACCAATCCGAGCAACTGGTCCGGCCGACAAGACGCACGAGGCGACGTGCGTCCAGCCCAGGGGTATCAACCCCCACCCGCGTGCAACATTAACCCCGCGGTTCAGCATCAGCAGCAGCAGCCGCCACCGACTGCCACAGTACGCAATGTCATGAGCAACATGGTCATGGCGGGCGAATCGCGTCGTCGCCGCGTGCGCTCACCTTCACCTGAGCCCGCACCGCACCCCATTGGCGCGTTCTCCAACAACAACCCATTCAGTCCGCGCCACGACTTCACCGACGACGACGACCAGGACTGGAACCTCCCAGTCCCGCTGCTTGAGAGTCCCCCGCACGTACCTGACATGCGGGTGGCGCCACTTGATTGGCTCTCGCGTGAGCAATTTCTGAAGTTCGTCACGCCGCGATTGGCGCTGCTCGCACGTGACGACAACAAGTCTTGGATTTCGACATTCCCAACTGCAGCGGTGATTCGCACGAGTTAACCGATCTCGTGCCACTGCGCTACGAGCACATCCACCGCAGGGTTTAAAAGCACCCTGACGGCAGACCGTGGGTGCCGCATCATCCTCACCCACGCGGAAAGGCGCTACATGACCCAGACCCAGACGGCATCTGCAAAGACTGCCGCACACCAACGACGTCAACCAGCGCAATTGCCGGCCGCGGACTCGCCGCCATCGCCGAGGCAGAGCAACATGCACCGCCGGAAGAAGGGATGCCGCAGCTGGAGCTCGAAATCACCATGCGCGGCGTGTTCGGTACGCCTGAACACCCACTCATCGGACCCCCGTCACAACACCTTCAAGGCATGTTGCGCAGCACCGGCGTCGGTACCTACGATGCGCATGGCTTCCCTCGACCCTACACTCACAAAAAGTACCTGTAAGTTTACTCTCACCGGTGCGGTTCGACAAAGAAGCTCACCGTCGAGCAGGAAGAAGCACTGGTGTGCCGCGAAGCAAAGGAACTTCGCCGTCAGAGTCTCGCCGAAGCATGCGGAACTTTCGCCTGCGGCGCATGGGGAGCTGTAGAAGAAGAAGAAAGTGCCTCCAATGAAGGGGGGTGGGGAAGCGCTGGCGGATGGGGAACGAGCAATACCGGCGGATGGGGCAACACTTGCGGAACCTGGGCAAATGCAAGCGGCGGATGGGGCACCGCAAGCCGACGACAGTGGCTGGGGAACTTCCAGCGAAGAACAAAAGGGGGGGGAAGAAGAAGCATAGGAAACTGAGGCTACACCTGCAATTGTTCCCCTTGGTCGTCCCCCGCGCCATGCTCCACTCGCGTCACCTCCTCTTGACAACCCGCCGCATCGCGACCCATGGGACACCATTGATTGAGGCAACGAGCCATCAACCCCGCGTTGTACCGTCTACGGACCCGCTCCTGAGCCGCGCGAACCCACTCTCGTCCCTGGAACCATCCCTGGGACCAACATCCCTCTTTTTGAGATTCGGGACAGAGAATTTCAGGCGCTAATGCTAACTACCGCGAACGACGAAGAAGCAGCAGAAGAAGCAGCGGCAGATTTTGCCCCCGTAGCTGACGAAGACCCCGAAGAAGCTTCCACGCGCGCGCTATATGCGCACCTCCGGCTTTCGCGCTGACGATGCACTCTGGCACCAGCGCCTCGGACACCCTTCACGCGCGACGCTGAAAAACTGCATCGACGCAGATGTCTCGCTCCTGGAGCGCTCCTGCGCCCAGATGGCAGCGAAGTGAGAGGCACGACACATCCGCACAACTACACCATCTGCCCCGAAGCTCAACTGAGTAGCCACCAGCCGTTCCCGCTGCTCGAGCCCACTACCCCAAGCTGCACAAGGTGTACAGTGACTTCCTGAACATGGGGAACTGCGGAGTCGACGACGAACTATATACACTCACCTTCATCGACGCTGGAACGCGCTATGTGTGGGTCGTGAACGTGGAAACTCGCAACGCGCTATGTGTTGGTCGTGTTCCGCCTCTGGCTGGCGCACGCGCAGCGGCAGTCTGGGGAGAAGCTGAAAATTTGGCAATCTGACGGCGCAGCAGAGTTCAGGAGCAACCAGATGCTGAGTTACTTGGCACAAAAGGGGATCGAGCATCACATTTCTCTCCCCTACGCACATCAGCAGCAGGGCGTAGCTGAGCGGACGAACCGCACGCTCATGACGAAGGTGCGGGCGCTGATGAAGCAATCGAAGCTGCCGCCGATCTACTGGACCTACGCAATGCACCACGCCGTGCGGGTGCACAACCTGCTTTCAACCACCGCGAGCACCGGCAACCTTTCCCCGCATGTCAAATGGACCGGGACCAAGGGGGATACCTCCATGCTCCGCGTGTGGGGGTGCATGGTGCAATACCGCCCGCCGACATCAACCATCGGCAAATTCGCCAGTCGCGCGCGCTGGGGCATTCACCTCGGCATCAGTCACGAGCACAAGGCATGGATCGTGCTGGACCTCCTCAGTCTGAAAATCGCCCATGCCCGCGACGTAATCTTCTACGAACGCCTCTTCCTCGAGCAATTCCGCCACGACGAGGAGACGAACGCGAATTGCATTTACGCGAACGATGGGCACAGCTACGCAACGCCCGAAGACGAAGCCGCTGCAGCAATCCTGGAACAGGACACCAGGGGCGAGTTCACTTGGGGAAATCGGCGCAGCAGCGACGACGACGACGACGATTCCTCTGGAGGAGGAATGGGCGGAACAGGCGGAAGCGGCAGAGGCGCAGCACCACCAGCACCACCTGTTGGTGTAAGGGCCTAATAAAATCAAGCTATTAGGACTTAATCAAACTTAAAACCTCTCCTCGGGATCACCTCCAAGGGTCCCTGGGTGCCTGGTACAAGACCAGCCCCTATCCTCGGGTCCGAGTTTGTAAAGAGAGGGATCAAGAAGGACTTAGTCA